CAGGGAGCAGAAGAAGATGACGCAAGCGGAGAAGAGCTCGAAGAGGAGGCCGATGAGGTGGCGGAGCCACAGCTCGTTGTCCTCCAGCGAGTAGGCCGATGAGGTGGAGAAGCAGGAACGGCGTCCAGAAGGCGAAGATGATGGGGCTGCCGCTGCCGCTGTTGGGATCAACCCGGCGTAGAACGAGAGAGAAACGCACGCGAGATACTCAGTGGACACACGGTGTTTTTTTGTGCTGCAAAGGCGGCAGCGTTTTCTGTATTGATCAACTGAATATAAACAACAAACTACAGAGAGAAAACCGCGGCACGTTCGTGCTCACGAAGTGCCATCCCACCACGCTGGGACGTGCCGCGAACTACGCGCGCATGACGAGCACGGCGAGCGGCTGCATGCGCACTAGCTAAACTTAGCAAATAACCTAAACTGAAACTAACTACTCCTGTACACGATCCGGCGCAAGACTTATCCAACAAATCACCCCCTAAGTCCTGCTGCCGGGAGACGAAGCTTGGCGAGGCCGATCTTGCTGCGCAGCTCTTCGAACTTCTGGCGCCCAAGTGCCTTCGTGAGAATGTCACCGAGCTGCTCCGCTGTTCCGATGAACTGCACATCGATCAAGCCACGCTCTGCGCACTCTCGGACATAGTGGTATTTCACATCTATGTGCTTGGTCCGGTCATGGTGCACAGGATTCTTGATCAGAGAGATGGCGGACTTGTTGTCCACCCTCAGCACTGGTGCGCTGACCTCGACGTCGAGCAGGTCGGCGAAGAGGCGAGCCAACCAGACGCCTTGGCAGGTCGCTGTCGCTGCCGTGATGTACTCCGCTTCACACGACGAGAGGGCCACCACCTTCTGCTTGCATGATTGCCATGAAACTGGCCCGTCGCCGATGAAGTAGATGACCCCGCCGGTGCTCTTGCGATCGTTGACGTCTCTGGCGTGGTCGCTGTCACTGTATCCGTGCAGCAGCGGCAGCTTCTTTTTGTCGCCCCGCTTGTAGTGAATGCCCAGCGCTGCTGTCCCTGCCACATAGCGCAGTATGCGCTTGACAGCAGCCTGGTGCTCCTCCGTCGGCGCCTCCATAAACCTGCTCACGTAGCCGACGCTGAACGACAAGTCCGGACGCGTGTGTAGCAGGTACCTGAGACCTCCCACAATACTCCGGTACGCTGATCGACTTGGGGAAGACCGCGTACCATGGACTCCTTGCCGAGGCGACGGAGAGCTTGGAAACTGAGGTGGCCAAACCTCGCATGCCAGAGCCAAGTTGGCTCGCTGCTGCACGCCGCCAGGCACACGGGCCGAGTGATCTCCATGTCGAGATAGTACAGGCGGTTCGGTGCACGCCGTACCTTGGCGAGAAGACGACGATCAGGCTCGTAGAGGCGAAGCACGCCGTTCTTGATGTTCACCTCGCTCCCGGCGTCGTCCAACTGCCCGATGCTGATGATGTTGGCAGTGAGACGCGGGATGTAGTACACGTCGGTGAGTGCGCGGTGCTCGCCGGACTTGCAGGCGAACAGCACTGTGCCACGCCCTTCGATGTTCACCAGCGAGCCGTCTCCGAAGCGCACAGTCCCGCACACGGCGGGGTCGAGCTCGGCGAACGCGCTTTGGATGCCCGTCATGTGGTTCGTGGCTCCTGTGTCGAGGACCCACCGACCTCCGATGTTGTCCGCCTTCTCGTCGAGGTGGGCGAAGACCTTGGCCTCGACCAGCTTGACGCGGCGTGGTGCCTTGGCAGGTGCGATGACGTTGACCTCTGCCAGTTCCGCCGTGGCTAGCATGAGTGCCGGCTCCTCCTCATCGGCTTCCGCCTCCGCGATGTGGGCCGCCGCCTTCTTCTTCCCGCGGCAATCCTTGGCCCAGTGGCCAGTCTTGTCGCAGTTCTTGCACCGATCGCCGGGTGGAGGCTTGCCGGTGCCCACGTTCTGGCCGCCGCGCCCGCGTCCGCGCCCTTGACGCTTCCCACGGTTGTCTGATCCAGAGCCACCGCCGGAGTTTCCTTCGTCGCGGCGCTCCTTGCGTCGGGCCTCCCAGTCCTCCTCGCAGAGCATCAGGCGGCCCATGGCGTCCGTGATCTGCTTCGGCTTGCCGCGCTCCTCGAAGACGCGCAGCCTCCCGATCACGTCCTCCACCTTGGCCTTGTTCAAGTCCATGAACATCTCGATGGAGACAGCCGCTTGATTGAGGTTCTCGGGCACTACCTGCAGGAGTTTCTTGACTACCTCGGTGTCGGTGATGTCATCCCCGAGAGTGCGGAGGTTGGTGGTGAGCGCGTTGATGCGGATGCCGAAGTCGCTAACCGTCTCACCGTCCTTGAAGCAGATGGAGTTGAACTCCCGGCGAAGTTGCTGCGCGCTGGCGTCGCGCGCGCGCTCGTCGCCGATGCGCAGAGTCTTGACCGCGTCCCAAGCTTCCTTCACCGTGCGCTTGCGGGCGAGGGTGCTCCACAGCTCGGAGGGGACCGAGCGCAGGAGACCGGACATCGCCAGCCTGTCGTCGTGGTACTCATCCTCGTCAGAGGGATCCTCCATGCCATCGTTGACGACGTCCCAGACGCGGATTGTCTGGAAGTTCACCTCCATAACCAACGCCCACTCCGGGTAGTTGGTCCGGGTAAGCATCGGCCAATGGACGCTCGCCGACGGCCGCTCGATGACGCGCTCGACGATGTGCTCCCCGGCGTCCCGGGTGCGTGAGCGGTGAGTGGAACGGCCTCGACGCTATCGTCGTGGAGGTGGCGAACGCGACGGCACAGGAGTTTTCTTCCCGCCGGAGCCATCACCAGTTTCCTTCGGTGGAGTCTTGGACATGGCGACGGCTTAAGCCGTAGCATCAACAGGTGGGGTTGTGCTCTCCTTCAGTAGCTTGAGGCGAGGCTCCATCGGCGTCGCGCTCGGGTTGCGTACCGCCGAGCATGCCCGCGCTTCCTCAACAGCCACGGGCATAGCGTTCGGGAGATGGTGATCCATGATGGCGCCTGAACCACCTCGATGCCGAGGTAGTAGGACAAGGTGCCAAGGTCGCTCATCTGGAACCTCCTCTTCATGTCCTCCTTGAACTTCCGGAGCTCGCCAGGATCACCGCCCGTGATGATCAGATCATCGACATATACGCCGACAATCAACCTCCTCTGGGCCTTGCCGCGCGTGTAGACGCCATGTTCGTTCTCGCTGCGCCTGAAGCCGAGGGAGAGCAGAGTTGCGTTGAGCTTGGTGTTCCAGGCGCGAGGAGCTTGACGTAGTCCGTACAGCGCCTTGTGAAGGCGCAGCACCTTGCCGGGGTGGTTCTTATCGACGAAGCCCGGCGGTTGAGCAACGTACACTTCCTCCTTGAGCTCTCCATTGAGGAACGCCGATTTCACGTCCATGTGATGGACCGGCCAGTTCTAGTGCGCGGCAATGGCGATCATGAGCCGCACGGACTCGAGGCGCGCCACCGGCGCGAACACCTCCTCGAAGTCCACCCCTTGGCGCTGGACGTAGCCCTTTGCCACTAGACGCGCCTTGTGATGGACGATGGTGCCCCGCTGGTCCCGTTTCACCTTATAGACCCACTTGAGGCCAATGGCACGGTGACTGCCAGGGAGCTCGGTGAGACTCCAAGTCTCGTTGGTGGTGATCGCGTCCATCTCCTGCTTCATGGCGTCCTGCCACTCGGGGGCGTTCTCTGCCTCCTTGTACGAGCTGGGCTCCTCGGCGGTGACTGCATGAACTTCATCAAAGTCAAGGATGCGAGGAGCTTGACCGGGTGGTGTGTCGTCGCCGATGATGTTGTCGACGAGGCGGTAGCGCTGGACATCGTCATCGTCCACGTCTGCGTCGAGCGCGTCGTCAAACGTCGGCGGCGTCGCGAACTCAATGCCATCCTGTGGAGATGGTGGAGGTGGCGTGGCAGGCGCCGGCGATGCAGGTGGAGGTGTTGCCGGTGCTGTACCTGGAGAAGTTGGTGTCGTAGTAGGCTCCGGCACCCCGCCACCGACCGGCATGGTCATGTATTCTACAGTGAACGGCTCACCACCAGCAGACGACGTCGATGCCGTGTCCCAGCTCCAGCTTGCGCTCTCGTCGAACACGACGTCGCGCGACACGTGCACTCGCTCGCCAACTGGATCATACAGGCGATACGCCTTGCTTCCTTCTTCGTAGCCGAGCAGGACCATCGGAGTGGACCGATCAGCAAGCTTCTTGAGATGGGGCCGCACGTCCTTGACATGGCCAATGCATCCAAAGGTCCTCAGGTGATGGACAGAAGGCTGCTTGCCATGCCAAGCCTGGTATGGGGTGACACCGGACAGGGCCTTCGTTGGAGAGCGATTCAGGAGGTAAACCGCAGTGTGCACGGCTTCACCCCAGAACCTCCCCGGGACTCCTTTGGCCTTCATCATGCTCCGGGCTGTGGCAACCACAGTCTGATTACGGCGTTCGACAACCCCGTTTTGTTGCGGCGAGTAGGGGGCTGTCAGTTGACGATGCACGCCATGGTCCGCCATGTACTCCCCGAACTCAATCGAGGTGAATTCACCACCCCGATCAGTCCGGAGCGCCTTGAGCTTGCGTTCGCTCTCCAGCTCGGCACGGGCCTTGAACTTCTTGATGGCGGCAGCCGCCTCATCCTTGCTGGTGATCAGGGTGAGCCACATATAGCGACTCATGTCGTTGATCAACAGGAGGAAGTACCTCTTTCCCCCCGGCGTAGTAGGCTCTGATACCAAATGTTGGGATCAACCCGGCGTAGAACGAGAGAGAAACGCACGCGAGATACTCAGTGGACACACGGTGTTTTTTGTGCTGCAAAGGCGGCAGCGTTTTCTGTATTGATCAACTGAATATAAACAACAAACTACAGAGAGAAAACCGCGGCACGTTCGTGCTCACGAAGTGCCATCCCACCACGCTGGGACGTGCCGCGAACTACGCGCGCATGACGAGCACGGCGAGCGGCTGCATGCGCACTATCTAAACTTAGCAAATAACCTAAACTGAAACTAACTACTCCTGTACACGATCCGGCGCAAGACTTATCCAACAGCCGCTGCTAGCATCGTTACTGCTGTTGTTGTTGCCTGCAGTACTAGCCGCCCCGCTCCCGCCGCCACCGCGCTTGAGGCCGAAGAAGCTGGATGTGGAGTCCCCGCCGCCACCGCCAATGTTGCCCATGTTGTTTAGTATGAGGCCGAGGCCAAGGTCGGCGACCCAATCGGCGAGGAGGTAGCAGGACCAGATGATGAAGCGGGATATCAGAGAGGCGGAGCGCTTGCGCATGGGCCCGAGGAAGATGAGGACGACCTGCAGGAGGAGGCTCAGCAGCAGCGCCACCCGGATTTCCCAGTTGCTGTCCTGCTGCGGCACCGGAGGGTTAAAACCCATCACCGCCGCTGGCCGCTGCAACCAACTGTAGATCGAGGTGTCAGGCTAGCCATCCATCCAAGCAAGCACACATTAGTAAAGCCTTGTGAAATGTGAGTCGAGTCCACTCAGAGAAAACACACAGTGAGCAGTTGGAGGGAGAGAGAGAGACAATCGCTGTTGTCAGCCATTTTCATCGATGGTTGGTATAATGAATCATCGGTGAAAATAATTTTCATCGTCGGTAGGCCAAACCGACTGTTGGTGAAAATATGATTTTCACCAACTGTTCATATCATGAACCGATGGTGAAAATCGGTCCTAATTTCACCGTCTGTTTGTACTATAAACCGTTAGTGAAAATAATTTCACCAACGGATCATGCATATTATGAGCCGGCAGTGAACAATGACTTTGTTCAAATCGGTGGTGAATATGTCGCCCGTGAAAACCATTTCTATAGTGGTGGTCAATGTCGGCTCCAATATTTCTTTTTATGTTATAACACTTGATTAAGTTTCACGTGTCTCTAAAAATTTACTAGTTTCTGTCTTTCTGATGTGTTAGAGCATCTCCGAGAGTACCTAATAATTTGTTCCAAAAAAACATGGTGTTTTCTAACTTCTATTGGCTCCAACAGTTTACAATTATTCACTCCTAAATATAGAAGACAATTTTACATCAGGAATCCTATACTATTTCTAAATTATCCCAACCACTTTTATATATTCTCTCTCTCGTACATTTGCATCAGGAATCCTTACCTACTCTTTATTCTTTTTTCACACCCTTCCACCTTTAGATTGGGAGACTCGTACGCGCGTCGCGGATCTTTGCACGCTTTGGGTGATTTTTTTCCAAGTGCCAAAAGATTGAGATATGGTATTGGGAACTCTTGGAGATGGGTGTTTTCTATTCTTACCAAAAATCCTAGATTAGGAGGATTTATTAGGAACTCTTGGAGATGCTCACCGCAAAGGCGGCCCTAAAAGAGGCATGTCTCTGGAATATTCAAAGGTGGTTACTGAATAGATGCATCTCTGATATCCGCTCATCAGAGACATGTATGGTTCCTTTGTGGCCGGAGCAAACTATACAGAGACGTGTGGTGGATATATGTGTCCCTAATCCTATATTTGTGTTCTCTCTCAAAAAAAAATCCTATATTTGTGATGTTTCTCTTTTTAGAGTCAGTGATGTATGTGCCTTCTTTGCACGTTTCCACCCTAGGGTGTGGGACAAGTTATTTGGGGTTGCAGAAATCCAAATGGATTAGAGCACATAAGAAACCCCCACTCCAAGACTGAACCCGGCCTTACACCCAAAACCACTTCGGGGCAGAGCAAGAAACACTGGAGAAGAAGATAATCCTGGCCATCTCTTGTTCACAACAAAATATGAGTGGAGCTCCCCAAACACTTATTTTCCCAAATTAATTTTCATAAAATTTTGAAAAAACCCCTATTTTTAAGTCCTTGAAAATTATGTATCCCTTGGTGACCTAATAAAAAAAAATGTAATTGCAGTCCATATTGGTTACTAGTAGAAATGTGTTATTTTTAGCGCTAAAAGATTTTATTTTGTAAGAGCTTCGTGATGCATGGTAACTGCAAATTAAAGTAGTACAAGTGGCACGAGAATGAGGTACTCCCTCTATTGCAAATTATAATTCATTTTAGTTTTATTATGTATCTAGACACCTAATATATCTAGGTGTATAATAAAACATATGTATTTAGAAAAAATCAAAGCGACTTACAATTTAAAGCGAACGTGTACCAAATTTGGTACCTAAGTTCCAAATTCGGCTGTACTTGGTGTCTTTTCAAGGATAATGAAAAAAAAATCGAGCTACACTTAGACATATCAGCATAATGCAAGTTGATCGGAGAAGGAAAAGACAAGATGTAGATCAATGTTTTAGATGCAAAACGAAGAAGAAAATTAAACAAAATACGCACCAGCAGTCGCTTCTTGCGACCCCTTTGTTAACTTCTTATTTGGCGCCTCAGATCCGCTGAGCTGCTAGCTATATATGGTGGTGCTGTAGCTAGTTGCTAGCCTTATATATCTGCATACATGCATGCATGCAAATGCAATGTATGCTGGGCTTGGTTTTGGTGGTGACGCTGGTGATGTGTGTACGTGTATATATATATACATCTCCTCCATCCATCGTACGTAGCCTCGTAGGTAAGTGTGGTCAGGAAATAATGATAATGGAATCATACGTTACGTGTGAGTGCATTCACCACCTTGTTGCATGCTTTATTGCAATTTTTCATATCATATCGGTGATGCTAACTAGCTTGTTGTCGACACGTACTCCTCCTACTCCTAGCTTTCGATGGAATAAAGCTGTTTCTGCCTCCGCAAGACACGGATCGGATAAAGGGCCGGCACGTACTAAAGTGCATCAACAAGCTTCTTTCGCTACTAATTTGTCCTTCACACATCACAATTATGTACGTAACAGATCGACAAGACAAAAAGAAGAAGCTGAATATATAGAAACTAGCTGGCTACCCAGGGAAGACAGCAGGCATCAAGTTCGATCCATCACGTGATCTACTCTATCCGGCCGGTGCTTTCAATTGCATTGCAAGGAGAGCAAGGCACACAGACGAACATGATGCATGCATGCATACACATCAAAGTGGCGACCACGCACACCATGCGTACGAGTGCATGCATGCATATCCTTTAACTGTTGCGCAAGCTAAGCAGCTAGCATATTTCATTGTGGCTGTGTACTGTCCATCGGCGGAAATACCCCAGGACTATCTATGACATGAATTGAGATATCTCTTTAGCTGTAGATTTCGAAAAACAAAGAATTAACCATGCACCACGCCTCCAATCCGCACTCGTGTCTTGGTAAAACTTTTGCAGAACCCACAATCACTGTCGGGTGTGCATGACCCAACAGTAATGTTTGTTTCATTCACTACTGGGTAATAAGCCAAGAATAGTCCGGATAAAGATTGGGCATCCTATTAACTCAACGGTGAAATCCCCTGTCACTATCGGGTTAAACCATGAACTGGCAATGATAGTAGGGATAGCTGCGTCGCGTGAATCCACAACCCAGCGGTAGCACGACAGCAATGTTCTGGTGCCGCTGGATCCACCTACCACCGGTTACTCTGTTCTTCACTGTCCAATCCAGTTACCATCATCGCTTCTGGTTATAAACCATGTGTTTGGACATGCATATAACACACAGAGAGATAGATATGACAATGCGGACCCATTCCTGATTACCCATGGGGAATTCCTTCGTTGGAGATCAGGGATGGGGCTAACTTGCACCCCCGCGCAAATGGAAAAGTCCCTCTCCATTGGGGATTTTTTTAATTTTAACCCTTTTTTTGAATATAATTTTAAATCTAACACTGTCGGGTTTTTTAATACTAACACTTTTGGCGCCCTGTTGCCTGGGGCTGCGCAAATGCTCGTGTCGCGCCATGCATGGTGGCGCGGCAGAGGGCTGACGTGGAGAGGGCCGGCTTGGGGGACCGCTGACGTGGCAGCTCCTGCCGCGCCACCGACCTTGGCGCGGCAGTGTCGCGCCCTGATACGTGGCGCGGCAGGACCATATATATACCGCCCGCGCAGCCACACCACCTGGCCGCTGCGCCTGCTGCCCGCACGGAGTACCTAGATGGTTGAATCGAAACGCGTCGCACACATATCTTGTTGAGTTTTTTTCACGGCCGAATAAAAAATTCGATAAGCCAATGATAAGTTTTTCGTCTTTCATAATACGGTTATGCACCATTTAAACTAATCGATTACGAAAAATTGCCGCCGGGACTGTCGGTTCCCGAACTAGTTGGTACTTAATCTCGCCGGCAGTGCTGCCGCGACTCAAAGAAACGAATAAGAAGCAAGTTGACAAGCTGCCACATAACATATTCATTGTTTTGACATAAGTTTGAGATAACATAACCAAATAACCACGTAAGTTTCGGATGGCAATATTCATTTGACCTAACAAACTAAGACCCAGGAGTGTAAGAATCCCTCGGATGCCTCTGTCTCTTCGGATTTGTTGGCAACACATTGAGAGTGTAGCCAACGTCGGTATGGTCGCGTCAACGGTGCGTACGGCTCGTACCCTGCAGGTATATGATACGCACGATTACTTATGATCGTTAGTTCATGGAGCCTACGTATTGAAACAAACTATCTTTGTTAGTACCTGTGAGGCTCCTTGGGTGCCAAGTGGGGCATCACCTAGCTGAGATATGTCGATCTCGTCCTGCGGCCATTCGTCCCACTGGTCGTGTTGTCCATGGAAGCCGGGGGTTAAATAAATGCCGTCGTCATCGTCCTCCTCCTCGTCCTCGATTGCAGGGTCCTTCCCAGCGCTATGATGTGGTAGTGTACGCACCGCGGAAGTGGCACCTGTCATCGGCTGAGAAGAGCTGGCTGGTGTCCTCAAAGAGGCTGAAGACGTGCCACCCGACCACGCCGGGAGTGGCGGTTCCTCATAAGGAGTGTCCATGCAGCTCAGCTTCTGAGTTAGCTTCCTGCAGCTCTTCTTCACCTTCTGCATAAATAGACGTTAAAGTTAGTTCATTACACAAACGCATATACACTAAAGAAATATTTTCGAAACGGACAAGTTTATATTTACCTCCACAAAAGCCTGGACAACGCCTGGCCCCTGCCCTCTAGACTCGTGAAGCCGGAACGCTGCTTCGTTGGACAGCCTTGATAATTGTGTCGCCTGGGTACAGAAACGTGGTTAGACAGTTTTATTACACTTACTTAAAACCAAAAGGATAATAAATTGTACCATTCAAGTATCTTACCACGTATCTTTGAAGCGGGGCTCTCTATAGCTGTGTGTCCTCCCTAGTGGTAGCGTTGTACACATCTTCGATGACATCTTCCTCTGAGTCCTCGTCAATCGCCACGTCAGTGTACTGGGGCTTGACATGTGTCCTCGTAGACCTGTGAAGCCACCACGTGTACTGTCGAAGGTGTCTTTGGTTGTGTGGAGGACCCGCATAAGGACCGCATGTGGTACCACGGTTCCGCCACAAATGGATGTACAAAGTTGCGTGTCATCGCCAATCCTTGGTCTTGTACCTCTTCCTGCGGTCAAACACGCAACAAAAGCGATGTTAGTTGTACCAAACACACCTACGAATTGTAGCATTGTTATTAATCGATAACGCACCCGCACAATTCTTGGTTGGTGGAGTAAAGCGGTGGTGGGCGGTGTCATTCTTCCAAAGCTGCCTCTGCAGACCCAGATAGGCAAGTGAATCTCGACCACATGGAAGAAAATAAGAGGGACCTCATGGCGATACTCGTGTGACTCGTCCCTAGTGGACAGGACTCGAGTAGCCACGAGCTGGGAGAATCCCAAGGACACCAAAACACCTGAAATTTCGTAATTGTGTTAGGTTGTGATATCTGTACATGAAGCGGACATTTTGATGTACGATAGTATAGAAGAGCCTAACCTGGTGTTGTGTCGGAGACGCCGAGACCGTCCGTGTACTCTCCTATGCTAGCGCCACACATTCCTCTAACTAAGCATCAGCTTCCGTGGGCGGCGGCTAGAAGGCATTGCTGGGGGAAGCGGCCGTGGCGGCAGATGGGCGAGCGGCCGAGGCCGAAGCAGTAGTGGGTGAGGCGTGGGCGAGGTTGGTAGCGTCTTGTGGCGTGGGCGGTGGTTGGCGCAGTGGTGGTGGCGGCGGTGGCGGCATTCGGTGCGCCAGGCGGGCGAGGTGCGTGGTGCGTGCGGGAGGCGCTCGCATGCGGTATATATATGGTCTGCCGCGCCAAGGTCGGTGGCGTGACAGGACTGCCACGCCGGCCGTCCCCTAGGCCCCCTCGCCACGTCAACCTCTCCGCCGCGCCACCATGCATGGCGCGGCCACAGCATTTCATTTGGCAGCTTAGGGCAATAAAGGCACGGCTAAAAGTGTTAGTTTTAAAAACCGATAGTGTTAGATTTAAAATTATATTCAAAAAAGGGTTAAAATTTAAAAAAAATCCCATTAGGTGCAGTGGGATCGGGATGATCCCCTGTCCATGAGGGTAAGCCCGACTAGGATGGGGTGGACCAAGCTTGTTAACAAAGAGGCCCAAGCCGGATAGAGTGTATCGACTGCTTGGAAGACAAGATATAGACTAAATAAGCTTAAATGCTAAGTAAAGCAGGATGATCCACTCAAATACATTAGATTCCTTGTAATAAACTAGGAAACTGTAGATATAGATTGATCGGTATTCCTCCAGTAAACCCTACCCCTTGACTATATAAGGGGATGTAAGGCACATCTCATTCGCCATCTAGACAACCCATAGCTTAGAACCCTCGACAAACTCATCAGCGCCCCTATAAACCCAAGGGCACTTTGCAAGAGAAGCATTCTCTACTAGACATAAGTTATCGCGTACCTAAACCATGTACTACGCCTCTAATTCCCTACGCACAAAACATTGATCTACTTGTCGGACGAAAAATCCTACGACAGCTCTAAACCCTCTATTACTGTCAGTTTTGGACTTCGATGGTAAAAATCAGCACTGATAATCAACTCTATCACCAGTGGTTGTCGGCCTCGCACCACCAGACCCGCATCGCCGAGCACCATGACCCCAAGCCACCGGCACCACGTCGTCCGGCCCGTGCCATTAGGATCAAGAGGAGAAGGGGAGAGCACCAAGGAGAGAGAATATGTGTCACAGAGGTGAGCAACGGATCGGATTTGAGAGCTGTCGGACTTAACCGGTTTGAGGGGCGGACCTTAGGCTGGGATTAGCTAGATTTCATTTTATTTTTTATTCCAGAAACTACATAACTATCGGTTTGTGTTAGAATTCGGCAGTGGTACTAACATTATTGTTGCTTGATTGAGAAATCTGACGGTGATATTCTTTTCCCTTTATAACTAGGAGTATCACTGGTGGTTTTAAAACAACCTGTAGTAATGTAGCTGGCAGTATTATCTGGTTTTTGTAGTAGTAGGGCAAATATTGTTTATGGTGGAACAAGTACTTTTGGCCACAATAAACACTGATAAAGGCATCGATTTGAGAGAAGGACATGAGAGTGAACAGAAGGAAGATGGTGCAAGCTATAAACTGCATAAGAGCTGAACAACATATACTCCGTATACTCGATAGCCGTCCAATAGTGCGAGACCTTCCTAGTTTAGCATAATACTATAATAGGATGCATATAAAAACAAGAAAACTTTTATTATGGTCCTAGCTGATGGGTGACTCTAGCGACAGACAGGCAAACAGCCAAATAATCAGTGTGGTAATACTCAACGCTTGGTACATGAGGTATTCACAAAACACACACACACACACACACACACAGGGAATGACGAACATGCATAGACGATGAGCGAGCTGCTTCCTACTACTGGTCTTTGACGATGAGCTTGGCCTTGGCGTCTCCCTCCTGGATCTGGTACATGTCGCCGAGCCCCATGTGCGCCATGAGGAACCAGACGAGCGTGATGAGCTCGCCGCCGCGGCTGAGCTGCCGGACGTGCATGTTGCCCCGGCACTTGCCCGCCGCGTACGTCAGCATCTCCCCCCACACCCCCGTGACAACCTCCCTCATGAGCCAGTCGTCCAGCTTCCTGAGCTCCTTGGCCAGAATGACCGCGTCGAACAGCACCGACTTGCTCCGGTCGCCCTTCACCACTGATGGCTTCTCCGACGTGTTCACGTTCAGCAGCATCTTGCGCGCGTCGTCGTGGTCATCGATCCACGCCTCCATGGATCCGAAGAACCGGCGCGCCTCCTCGCACGTGTCCCGGTAGCCCGGAGCAGGCCGATGCCCGCCGTCGCCGCCAGCATCTCCGGCTGCTTGATGAGCAGGTACAGCATGTACTCCGACAGGGTCTCGCCGATGGGTCGCAGCCGATCTTCGTCCGCCGTTGGTGCCGTTATCTTGTTCTGGAGGCCGCACAGGTCGGTGGCGATGTGCCACAGCAGCAGGGATTCGTCGAAGTCACTCTGCTCCACGCTGTCCAGGATCAGCCTGAACTTCTCCGTAGCGACCTCGGCCTTGATCTTGTCGATGTCGTCCATGCTAAGGCGCTTCGCCTCGTCCTTCTCCTCGAGGGACTTCTTGATTTTATCCATGGCAAGGTGCTTCACCTCGTCGTTATTCTCGATGTTCTTCTTGATCTCCGTGGCATGGCGCTGGATGACACGGTTGCCACGACAGTTGCACATCTCCATGATGTCCCCCTTTCCTTTCGCTTTCAGCATCTCGGCCGCTGGCTTGAGGCCTTTGAAGATGAAATCTAGGGAGAGGAGGAGTCCTGCTTGTCGCCGCCGTCGTCCTGCTGCTTCTTGCCGCGTAGTGGCACGCGGTGGATGAAGAAGAAGTCGTCCACGATCTCCTCGACGTGCATCTTCTCGACGATCTTGTGGAGCCACCGCCGTCCACCTTTGTTACTGTAATTGCCCGGCTTGCCGAGGCAGTATTCGATGAGGTTCAGCTGCGATGTCTTCCCGACCAGCGCCGCGCCCGCCACCGCTTGATGACCTCCCTCAGCCACGCCAGCCACCTGAGCCACCTGGACGACTCCAGGTACACCTGGGCGCGGTTGGAGAAGAAAATCATGAGCAGCGCCGCCACGTCGAGCGCCAGCCCACCCAGCAGCAGCGCGTACGTGATGCCGACGTCGACGGGCAGGATCTGGTGCCCAGGCTTGTCGAGGAAGAAGAAGATGACGAGCGCGGAAACGAGACAGCAGGAGCAGATGCCGCGGAGCACCCAGCCGTGCGTGCTGTAGGCGACGGGCGCCTTGGTGTACACTATGTCGTAGATGAAGTTGAGCTCCACCTCGATCACCTTGAACGCCTCGCCCCTTCATGTCATCGCGCTCCAGGAAGAAGGCCTGGCTCAGCCGCCGCTCCTTGAAGCTCAGGATCACGTTGACGAAGAGCCGCCGGAAGATGAGGAAGAACTCGTACGCGCGAGCCTCCACGCTTTTGTTCTTGTCCTGCACCAGCCGCATCGTCTCTTGCTTCTCCATCTCCTTGTGTGCCTCCTCGGCCTCACCATTGGCTATGGCGATCTCGACGACCAGGCCGGCCTTCTCCTTGGCGTCGAACTCCGTCATGAGCTTCGCGTAGTTTGGCCCCGGGTCCGGGTCGTCGAGGATCTTGTTGCGGAAGCCGTCGACGCTGCCGGAGTAGAGGGAGTAGGTGCGCTCCGCGTACTTGATGATGCCGACGATGAACATGAGCACGGTGGCGGGGATCATGGGGTTGCCGTGAAGGGAGCAGAAGAAGATGACGCAGGCGGAGAAGAGCTCGAAGAGGAGGCCAATGAGGTGGCGGAGCCACAGCTCGTTATCCTCCAGCGAGTAGGCGGTGATGGTGTCCGGCCCGCCCAGGTGGAGCAGCAGGAACGGCGTCCAGAACGCGAAGATGATGGGGCTACTGCTTCCGCTACTAGCGTTGTTGTTGTTGCCAGCGGTGCCGCCACCGCCGCCGCGCTTGGAGGCCAAAGCTGGACGAGGAGTTGCCGCCGCCACCGCTGATGTTGCCCATGTTGTTGAGGAGGAGGCCGAGGGCGAGGTCGGCGACCCAGTCGGCGAGGAGGTAGCAGGACCAGACGGTGAAAGGGGTATCGGAGACGAGGAGCGCT